ACTTGTACAATAGTATCCAGATGTAGTATCAAAATAGCTACCCGAACTATTGATCCTGATACATCGACTAAGACCATCCAACCAAAAAAAAAATTCATGTAGTCAAGAACAAACTAACCAAAGCGGGAAAAAGAATTCGAAAAAGAAGCAAAAAAATCAAACCAAAACTCATTCCCAGCCAATAAGCAAAAGTGTAGGCCTGTTTAGGTTGAAAATGAAAGGGAAACCAATTAGCTACAAACAAAGCACCCCCTGGCCCTCCATCAGGAAAAACAAAACCTGGCTAGTCAGAAAAAAAAAATTAGAGAAGAAATTAGGGGCAACCAAACCGAGACACAGAAGCATTAAATGCATTCTGAAAAAAGAAAAGGAAAGCGGTAAAAAAACCCTGCCCATGACAGGGAAAGCAAACCATCCGCCTTTACAAATACGCATACCATGCAAACTCCCTCAGTATTACCAAATACCACTTCGAGCAAACAGAGGAAGAAATGGCAGCAAAATGTTGCGAGGAAGAGCATCCAAATAAGGCTTTTGGATGGGCAGCTAGAGACCAATCTGGGGCCCTTTCTCCTTTCAATTTCTCTAGGAGGTTATTCCCTCTCCTCTACCTTCTTGCTACTGCATCTATGGCCTTTTTGCTCGGATGAATTAGATCCATGTCTTTTTTTAATTTTTTTATTTTCTCATCAATAAATATCCAGTGCACCTGCACAACGGGCTACAACGGAAAGATATGTCATCATATATTACAATCTTTATTTTTATAATAAACGTACAATAAGTTGATCAAATCACGTATTTGTAATTATATGTTTTTTAAGTAATATTTTGGTTAGCTCTGATTTTTTTTTTTTATATACTTTCCATTTTCCAGTGCAGTTTATATTTACCAAAATTCTTCTTGCAGGGCAACAGGAGAGAAAGATGTGGCATTCAAGGTACTATTTTGTGGAATATGTCACTCAGATCTTCATATGGCCAAGAATGAGTGGGGTACTTCCACGTACCCTCTTGTCCCTGGGTATGTATATTTACACTCAATAAGAGAAATCTGTGACAATATAATTATTAATATGTATTACAATATAGAAGTATTTTAAATTTGATTGATGCAATTGCGTCGACCTGAAGGTCAATTAAATGAAAAATTAAATTGGCAATGCAGACATGAGATTGTTGGACAAGTGACAGAGGTAGGAAGCAAAGTTGAAGAGTTCAAAGTTGGAGACAAAGTGGGAGTGGGGTGCATGGTTGGATCATGCCACTCTTGCGATAATTGCAGCAACAACCTTGAAAATTACTGCCCAGAAATGATACTCACCTATGCTGCCAAATACTATGATGGAACCACCACATACGGAGGCTTCTCAGATATTATGGTGGCAGATGAACACTTCGTAGTTCGAATTCCAAACAACCTACCTCTTGATGCAGCTGCACCTCTCCTATGTGCCGGAATTACAGTGTATAGCCCCTTAAGATATTATGGTCTTGACAAACCGGGTATGCATGTGGGTGTGGTTGGACTTGGGGGACTAGGTCATGTAGCTGTGAAGTTTGCAAAGGCTATTGGGGTCAAGGTGACCGTGATCAGTACCTCCCCCAACAAGAAGCAGGAAGCTATTCAGCATCTTGGTGCTGACTCATTTTTGGTTAGCCGTGACCCGGATCAGATGCAGGTATACATGATTCAGAGAAAATTCCTTGCATTTGTAAACAAATTAGTAAATCTTTTTTCTGTACGTGAATTTGTTTTCTAATATTATATTTGTTTGATACTTAGGCTGCAAAGGGCACAATGGATGGAATAATTGACACGGTCTCGGCCATGCATCCTATGTTGCCTTTGATCGGTCTACTGAAAACTCAAGGAAAGCTGGTTTTGGTTGGTGTACCTGAGAAGCCGCTTGAGCTACCAGTGTTACCTTTGCTCATGGGTACGGATATTTGCACATCTCAATATATATTCTAATTTATTGTGGCATTCTAGTCATGGGTCGTCAGATAAATATATAGCAAAAGCTAACAATGATGACTACCGTGTTATGGCCTAACAGGAAGGAAGATTGTGGGTGGTAGTTTCGTTGGAGGAATGAAGGAAACAAAAGAGATGATTGATTTTGCTGCCAAGAACAACATAACAGCAGAGATTGAGGTGATTCCAATGGATTACGTTAACACTGCCATGGAGCGACTATTGAGAGGAGATGTTAGATACCAATTCGTTATCGACATCGCCAACACCATGAAATTTTGAATTTTCCCCTTCGTGTATACTAAACGAATAAATTTGGCATGTAATGTGATGTGAGGATTATTCTGGAGTTTGTTACTTCGTACGTACCTGTAGTGTTGGTTCGAAACAGTGATAATGCCATATTCAGTACCTCTATACTTTTTATAAATCTATCAGTGTAGAACTTTTTGTAACAGATTTTTAAAATTTTTGCCGTTGGGCTGCTATCCGCTGACATGTGGCATGTTTTGTGCCAGGACACAAACCAATTAAAATGAGAAAATTGCACAGGAATATCCGTACTTTATCATTTTTTCTTTTACGTGCCTGTACGAATGTTTTCGATTTCTATTCTATGTTTGTCACATTAGTAGGATCAGGTTTCCAACAAAACGAGCAACCCTGTTATTTGCAGACACATGGCCATGATTCCTTCGTTAGATAGGGGGAAGTAGGGGAATATAGGATAGCGAAGTTGTCTTTAATAGATCAATCAATCAAGTGATTTTGTAGATACCACTTAACAAAACATTGATGTGGCCGTTAAGCATCTATTTAGTAAAAATGTAGGTAAGGCTTTAGTTAAATTAAGCGAAAAACTAAAAAACTGGAATTGAAGAAGTTCTAGCCGCTTAAAAAAATAATTTTGTATTTAAGTTTTTGTGTATAATTTTTTTTAAATAATTACTTTTATTTTGTACATTCGATAATATAGTAAGAGATTAGATTGAGCTTTTGAATCTGAAATATCCTAGAGGGTAAAATAAAATTAAATCTTGTAAAACTTTCATTTCAAAAAAATAAAAATATTAGAACAAAAATTTATCTCTTTAGTACTGGGAGGTTTAACTTAGAAATTATGTATCTAGTTATTTTTATAGTAAAATGAATCTTAATAATGCCTTTTTTTTTTTTTTGTGTGATTATATAAAGAAAGAGAGCTACCTTCCATTATACAACTTAAAAACTCATAGATATTCAATGAATTAAAAAAATATATATATGTTTTTCTAACTCTCTTTTTCTCACCCGACTTAAATTCCATTATTTATTTTTTAAAAAACAAATTAAGAAATTGAGGTTGCAAAAATATATATATCTTCAAATCGTCATCGTAACTCTTTTATATACAAATGAGATTTTTTTGGCAGATAAGTCTTTCTAATTAAAATCTTTTGTTTTTTTTCGTTGCAAGTTTCAAATTATAGTTACTTCGAAAATGATTTTTTTTTCCTAACTCTTGCAAGCATAGATGCTAACGAAAGAAGTAACTACTTTCTTTATATAGTATATGTTTGGTGCTGATTTCATAGTACAACCAACCCCTAATAAAACAAAAGTGTAGTAGGCTGTTTAGAAACTCCAAATCGAATATTTTACATGGATACATACCTCTCTACTGTAAGATCAGCAGTAGTGTATAGATTAGACAAATTTTCCTAGCCTAAAATTATTTGAAGTAATTATGACCTTTTTCCACTATATTTGTTCATGTAAAAACCTTTTCATATTAATCGAGTCACCCCATGCTACTAAACCAATCTTTAATAAATGACGTATTATAATTGATGAAGTTAAATTAAAATATTAAAAAATGCACTTTAAATAAGTGACTCTCACCCCATATATATGTGATATACGCCACCCCTATATAGTTTATTTTTACCATATTCCCCTTTCCCCTGACAATATGTTTAATATTTTGGATAGGAGAATGGTAGGGGAGCCCGAACGCTATGCTTGGTTTGAAGGAGAGAATGGCACGGGAGGGTAGGTAAAGGTAAGTTACAGAAAGATAAGGAAAAGTAAAGGCGTGGTGTGGACCATTAACAAAAATAGTTCAAAAGCATTGAGCACATGAACAGTAATTTGTTGATTGTTGTTTATTTGCTCACGAATTACTATTCATTGTATGGTGATTTTCGAAATTTTTTACGGTGATTTTTTTTTTATTTCTGGGTATATATAGGCAAAATTTACATTGTATTTTATTTTTTATGTCTAATGTTTTTAAAAGATATTTTTAACCTTTTTGAAGAGAAATGAGAGAAAAATAAAGACACAAAAGAACAGAGAGCAGGCCAGATTTCAGCTATTTAACAAGCTTATCGAGTTTGAACTTTCCATCCAAGAAGTAATGATTTTTTTTACTTATTGAGTTTGAACTTTACGATAAATACTTAAAAATATATTATTTTTAAATGCACTAAGTCGTTTGTTCGAAGATATGCTTTGCTTGGATTCCAATCATGATTTGAACCTTCTCTCAAATTTAACAAGCTTAATATTGGTATTTAGCACCTTTTGTGTCTCAATTTTTTTTTTTTTTACTTTTCACATAAATTAAGAAAATTATTAATCATTATCTCATATCAGTATCTCTTGTTTGTATTTTTAAAAATATTTATTATCAAATTTAGTTATACATGACATGAAACTAATATTAATTAATTATATTTAAAAAAAATATATTTCATTTAAAGTTGTAATCAAATAAATATTTTATCGTGTATATATATATATATATATATATAAATTTTTTGGACATAAAAAATAGTACACATGTATGGTAGAACCAATCAACAACAGAAAAGCAAATTGAATTTTTTTTCTCTTAATTACAAAGTGTAGAAAATTAGAAACATGTAGTAAAAATTAACGCAGAGGGATGGGATCCACGTATGGCCTGGTTTACCGAGTCCAAGTCCAGCAATTCATATCCCGAGCCGACCAGCCGTTTTGATTACGTTGACTGTGACGCATGGGGACTCGTGTTAGGTTATCGGTTACCAAAATAGCGAAAGAAAATCTGGACAAGTGGCCTCTAACGTATACAAACCAAATTGTTTTGAACTTCCAGCAGTTTCTTGCTGGACTGGAACTTGTCCTTGCTTCAACGTGTCTCTCCAGCTGTCCACGTTCTCCATGGCCCCACACGTTTTCTTCTGAAAACCGACACCAATCCGCACGGTATAAAAACCCACTCTTGTAGCTATGTACATTCTCATCACCATCAAGACCAATAACACTGAGCACTCAAGAATTGGTACCCTCTCAGTTCAGATCTCTTGGAAAGAATTTGTTTTTGTGTCTTGAGATCCAATTTTGCATAATGGCATTTGCAACAGTGAAGTTGTTTGCTGCTGTTCTTATAATGGCAATATTTGCCAGTTTTCTTGTTTCTGCACAAGATTTTGGAGAGTTGTCACCAACACCAGCACCAGCACCCGGTCCCGGAATGGACAAGGGAGCTTCTACTTATTCTTTTGGGATGTCTGGCGCTCTCATCTGCTCCTCTCTCTTCTTCTCTTTGCTTGCTCTTTTGAGGCACTAGATTTTTATGGCCTGAGAGACTCTTAGTTATTCTATATCATCGGCATGGCATTTATACATACCTGTACTCTTTCGATAGTTAATTTTTTTAGGGATTTATGAGTACTATTATTCATTGGTTTGTTTATATGGTGGAATAAAGGAATATTTATTACTCTATGGGTTGTCTTGTAGTTGTATTTTAATGGAGATGAGGGATATGTATACACTGATTATTATTTATTTTTAGTACTTGTGTATTTTGATTATATGTTCGATACTATATAATAAATTATTGTTTCATTTTAGCAACTTAAATGGGCTTTGCTTTTTTGTTCTTAATTTGCTGTCATAATATGATCAAGTTCTTTTGAGACGGATGTGCAATGGTCAATTGCAAAATAAACGGGCACGGTACTATCAGCTCAGCTCGCGTCCGCTTGAGATTTAATGATCACTTTCTATAGCAAGTGTAGACCATGGATCAATAACATTTCGTTCCTCTGATAAAGTAGATGGAAATTTTGAAGAAGGCTTTCTGTTCACATCGAAGCAGGCAATTTCTGTTTTGAATGATAATAATAAAAAATAAAAAAATTCAACAGATGGGGGATTATAGTGGAAGGAGCAGGACTTCTTATTCCTTACCTTCCTAAAATGCGGCGCACTGCCGAAGAACGTCATTCACATGTGAAAACGCACCATCAATTAAAAATAATAGAAACTCAAAAAAAATGTGTTCAGCGGCTCCCTACTCTTCCCTGCCTGGGAGTGACTAATATTTGTTCAGGGAACTTAGAAGAGAGATCATCCTATCAATAATCAAGTATCCAAATTCTGACGATTCTCCTTCGTTCTTGGAGTAGAAACAAGAAAAAAGAAACATATCTTTGGAAAAAATTTATCAAACTTTTTTATTTGCTGTGTTAACTCTCTTTAAAATAATATATATATATATATACTTTTTCTATTTAATTTTGTCGAAAAAAAATCTAATAAATAGCTATATCAACCAATAACGAATTGAGCTTATTCACAAAGATACCTGAACTACCTCAAGTTAGGTTCTGACATATACGTGATTCTGATGATCCTTCTAAATATTTGACAAAAAAACTATAAAATATTGTACAAGTACAATCAAATTATATATTATCATTTCAAAACTTGAATGAAGCAAATTGAAAGCTATTTTGTGCCAAAGTTTTCTTGAACTTAATTTGAAAATCAGTCTATTAATTTCTAATTTTTAATTTGATCCCTTTTTTTTTCTTGAAATTAATCCAATCCCCATCTATTATCTTTTCTAAAAATTGTAATTATTGATATTTTAAGTTAAAATTTTGCACACACATTGAAGAACATTTAATATATTTTTTAGAAAAAAAGCAAAATTTTTAAGATAAAAAATATATTATTTTATTTTTTAACATAAAAAATGTAAAAAATAAAAAAATAAAAAATAATCTGAAATGATATTAAATTTTTTAATAGTCTTAAATATATTTTACTAAATAATTTTCATCATGTGAGTAATTATTATTTTTTAACAAAAAAATGAATATGAACTAAATCTAAGGAAAAAAAGTTCACAAAAATTAAATTTTAAAGTAAAAGTGTAAAAACTGATTTTTAAATAAATTAAATTTAAGGAAAAGTTTGACTTATTTAACTCAAATTGAACTTGACAACTAAAAGTCAAAGATATTTTCTTCCGTCTTAATTAATTAGTGATTAAATTTTTTTGTCCATCTCTCTGTTCTAAATATTATTTTTCTCTCTCTACTTTTATCTGAATTAATTTCAGCCATCTATTTTCAAAATTGCCATTATTTAGTTCTTATTTAATCTGTAGCTAAAGATTGTCCTTAAATCATTCCGTTACTATCACCGAAGCATGACATGTGTCCAAATACTACCGATATTTTTGCTGACAAATACGTATAGACATCTTCATCTACGATTTCTTTTTTCTTTTCTTCCTTTTCCTTCTTTCTACAACCGTGCTTGCTTTTCTGTCCTAATGTACCTGTAGTATCCTCAATTTCGATTTCCTACAAAATACAAGATGTCTTTCTCGAGAATCTATGCGGTAAGGTTGCTACGCAACAATACCATCAATCCTGTTCATTTTCCTCAATTATCGCGCTGACAGATACAAAAACACTTTAGTAGGAACACCATTCTCTCTCTCTCAGTAAACTACATTCTTTACAATTTTTTCACCTCTCGCATTTATCTTCATTCCATTCAAGATAAGACTGCACCGGACTCTCCTTTCGCTTGTCGCAATACATTATCAGCACAAAGAAACTCACTATACCATTAAATAATAGTTACCCAAACTGTTATAACTTTAATTTTGATCAATACATTTAATGGGTTGCATATGTTTATTAATTTACCTATGAGAAGAAACTAGCAAAGCGAGATTTTGCCGGGTTGGTAATAGAGTGTAGATTGATGGCTACAAGCGAGCAAGTACAGGATAGAAGCAGAACAAGAAGAGTGCGGGATCTTGAAATAGTAACAAAGAAAGGGAAAAGATGATTGTCCAGGTGGTGGTGAGGTACGATTGAATATGTAACCTTTGGGTCGTTGCTCGTGTCTCGACGACATCCATCTGATAGGACTAGTTGATGACAGTAGCGGATTTAGAGGGGGTGGAGATTTAGTGGTGGCGCATGGAAGATGTTAAGAGAAGAAATCGATTTGGCAAAGTTCATTTCCACTGTATTCAATGAATAGGATGGAATATAAAACAGGTATCCTACCCGATCCGTCCATTACTTATTTTTTTAAAATATTTTAATAGTTAATAAATTAAATATGAGTAAAATAATATTACCTATTTATATTAATAGGTAATTTATTCATAAATATGAATATATTTTTTTATCTTATTAATATTCATTTTTTATCCATTAACATAAAAAATACTAAAACATAAAATTTTAAAATAAATAAATAGAATAAAGTAAAAAAGGATGTTCCTTTGTTTTTGTTTGTCAAAATTTCTCAAAAACCATTTTTAATAGCGACTAGTTGTCAGTTTTGATTTTCTTCTAATAAAAATTTAGAACAAATAAATTTTCTTAGTTTCTATTTTTAAGAATTTGAAAACGAAAACCACAAATAATCCAACATGATCCCTTTGTTTTTTTATTGGTATAATTATATATACAAAGGAGAATATTAATTAAAGCCAAATCGAATATTTGTGAATTAATCAATTTTTTTATTTTAAAAATAATTATATAGTCTTATTGATTAGTGTTGAAAATATTTAATTTAATATTATTTTTTTATAAAAACTATTTTTTCTCATCAATTTTCCTTAATATCTATTTATTCATTTTTCTTTTTTTAGCAAATTCAAACATTAATTGGCTCAAATTATGGTGAAAGATATTGTCTCAAAGCATCAGTTATGCAACAAAGTCTCTGAAATTTTTCGAAGATCCTCCTTCACAAGCATTGTTTTGAGCCACTTCCTTCAACTTGAGTGCATTTGCTTTTATACCTTCATCACACAACAATTCATCTACCTTTCTCTTGATTTCATACCTTGAAATCATCCCTTTTGCATTATAGTTTATTTCCAAAAAAAACATAAAATAAACAAAAAAAATTAAATAATTAGTTTTTAAAACAAGAAAAAACTAATTGATTCATTTCTCAAAACTACAAAAAACTAATTTATAATTTACTCATACTTCTAATTACACGATTTGCTTTAAAAAATGAAATTACCTTTAAACTTGAAAGTCGGCGATCTAATTAAATAGGCTCACTATACCCACAACACCACCATAATGATTAGGAATCATATATATATATATATATATATATATATATATATATATATATATATATATATATAACCAATTGCCTTTCCTTATCTTCATTTTAAACTGGCGTGTAGGAAATAAAAAATATAATAATTATTCAACTTAGTACATATTTATTTATGATAATAAAAATAATAAGTGTTATTTTGTTATCTAATAAAAATCTTAATATATAAAAGAGTCTAGACAAAAAGAGTTTGTAACAAAAAAAAAAAAATCAATAAAAAAAATTAAAAAAAAAACTCTTCAATTTAAAGAAAAAATTAACAAGTAAATGGGTATGGACAAGGTATAGGTAGGATATGATATAATTGGTATGGGCGAGGTAAAGAAATGAGCAAATGATTTTTAGTGAGTAATGGGTAAGATAATGGTTATAGTATTTTTTAATGGGTAGGGTAAAGGATTGGTTTAATGGGCCGAGTACCCGCCCATTGCCATCCCTATCAATGAGTCTATCTTTGTACAAAATTAGTTACAATATTTTTTACTATCTTAGCTAGAATCTTCTATTTCTCATCTAACTATATACAACTAGAACTAACTATATATAGTTGGAAAATACAAATAAATATATTTTTAATAATTTCTCTCAAGGTTTTGCTTTATACATGTCATAAACTCCCAATTTAGACATAAGGTATTGATGATGTTTGCTACCTAGACTCTTGGTAATTACATCAACAATTTGCTCTTATGTCTTGACAAACTTACTCTTGATCAATTCTCTTTTAGTTTTCACAAACTAAATGACAATCTATTTTTATATGTTTAGTCATTTCATGAAAACCGAATTAGAAGCAATATGTAAAGCGACTCGATTATCACAACTTACTTCTACTACTCCTAAATCCGTGCAATTCAATTCTTTCAACATCCCAAACAATTAAATCACCTTATAGGTAGCTAAAGTCATGGCTCTATATTCTACTTTAGTTGAAGATCGAGAGATGATATTCTATTTTTTTCCATGACAAAAGTGAATTCTCGAAAAAAATAAAAAACCAGATCAATGATTTCCTTGTCATAGGACAAGATGCCAAATTAGAATCACAAAAGACTCTAAGTTGTATAATACTGGAAGAAGACCAAAATATCAAGGCTTGGATTGCGTTTGAGATATTTAAGAATCCTTACGGATGAATGCATGTGAGAAACTTTTGGTTGATGC